GCTATGGGTCATACTACCTGAATAGGGCTATCCTGAAGTGATGTGGGTCATACTACCTGAATAGGGCTATGGGTCATACTACCTGAATAGGGCTATCCTGAAGTGATGTGGGTCATACTACCTGAATAGGGCTATGGGTCATACTACCTGAATAGGGCTATCCTGAAGTGATGTGGGTCATACTACCTGAATAGGGCTATGGGTCATACTACCTGAATAGGGCTATCCTGAAGTGATGTGGGTCATACTACCTGAATAGGGCTATGGGTCATACTACCTGAATAGGGCTATCCTGAAGTGATGTGGGTCATACTACCTGAATAGGGCTATGTGTGTTTTCTAAAGGAGGGGGCCGAGAACCCTGAGAAGCTTAAGGAACCCTAACTAATACTTGGGGCCTTTCCCAACTGTCCTGAGAGGCATCCCAGTTTTCTCCTCCTGTCTGTGGAGTGAGAGGTGTAGAAGCACCTGACCTGTGGTCCATGTGGGGTTGGCAGGGGCTTCCCCCACCCACCTGAAGGCGAGTGATGGCTCTCAACATTTCTCTTGCAGGTTTCCAAGCCCTGGGTCCCCTCAAGTCCAGGCCCCACCGCAGAGAATGGAGGGATCACCAGCCCAGGCCTCCCTGCTGAAGTCTCGGGCCCAGCCCCTGGGTCTCCCCGACTTCACTCACCCGACGAGAGCCCTCTCCGCCGCTCTTATCTTTCAGAAGTCCAGAGTCCTGCAGCTTCCGGGCCTCCTCCCTGCCTCCCTGCGACTCCAGCATCCCCAGCTGTGCCCCTCCCTGATGAGGGCTCCTGCCATGCCCCTAGCCCAGGGATCCCTACTTTGGAAGCCCCAGATGCCCCCAGACCCAGCAGCCCTCCCATGGAAAAGGTCTCAGGGCGCCACAGCCCAGAGCAGCGTCCAGCCATCTCGCCCCGTCCCCTGATGGAGGGGGGTGAGTTGCTTGATCCTGATCGGACGTTGCCATCTGGCGAGGAGATGGCCAGGGGTGAAGCAGAACTCCGCCCCACTGGCCTGGCTCAGCGCCGATTTTCTGAAGGTGTACTCCGGCTCCCTGACCAAGACCAGAAGCTGGGGGGCTCACTGGCTGACCTGCCCCAAACCCAGGGGAGCCAGTCAGCCCTGGATCGTCCCTTTGGAACTGGGACAGAGTCCAACTGGAGCTTGTCACAGTCCTTTGAGTGGACCTTCCCCACTCGGCCTTCAGGTCTAGGGGTGTGGCGGCTGGACTCCCCGCCTCCCTCTCCCATCACTGAGGCCGCAGAGGCTGAGGCTGCAGAGGCTGAGGCTGCCGCGAAGGCTGAAGCCGCCGCGAAGGCTGAAGCCGCGGAGGCTGCTGCTGCAGAGGCTGAGGCTGTGACTGCGGAGGCTGGGGCCACTGAGGCTGGCGACTGGGCTGTATCCAAACAGGAGGGAGTGTTCCAACAGGGGCGAGGGGCCTGGTCAGCTCCAGAGGGACCAGGAAGGCCTGGTTCTTGGGTGCAGTCAGATGATTTGGGCATCTCCCCAACCCAAGAGGGTGATGGGGAGAGTCTGCCTCCATCCCCAGCTGTGCCCCTCAAGCCTCCACCAGCAACAGGAGACCCACCTGAACTGGCCTTGCTGCAGGCAGAGGAGAGGTATGAGGAGCGGGAGCCCTTGACCAGACAGGAGTCCCTACTTCCTCTGGCCACCAGGGAGGCTGCCCTGCCCGTCCTGGAGCCGATCCTGGGGCAGCGGCAGCCAGCACCCGCTGACCAGCCCTGTGTCCTCTTTGCTGACACCCCTGACCCTGGGCAGGCACTACCTGCTGAGGAGGAGGCCATGACCCTGGCCCGGGCTGAGACTACTCAAGCTAGGACAGAGGCTCAGGATCCCTGTAGGGTGTCCCCCGAGCCTGCAGGCCCTGAAAGCAGCTCCCGCTGGCTGGATGACCTCCTGGCTTCGCCACCACCCAGTGCTGGCAGTGCACGGCGGGGAGCGGGATCTGAGCTGAGGGACACACAGGCCCCCAGTGCCTGTTCCGAGGTGAGGACAGGCAGAGGGAGGGCGGGGCCTCGGGGTGGAAGCCGGGGCTTCGGTGGGCTTCAGTCTTTCAGCATGGACTTTATGTGCCAAGAGCTTGGGGTATGGCTGTGAGCGAGGCACCTATGGGTGTGCCCCTCACGGCTGCACAGTCTGGCAGAGCTGACAGCAGGGGCTACGGGATGGTGCGAGACCTTGTATCTGATTCCAGCATCCGCTAGCTGAGTGGTTTTGGGAGTGTGCCCTAAGCTTAACCTCTAAGTTTCAGAGTCCTTTCATAACAACACCTGCCTCTTAGGGTTGTGCTGCAGGTAAAGTGAGATGTGGAACTCACTCAGTGCTTGACATAGACTGAGTGTTGAGGCCATTATTAGGGCCAGTGTTGTGAAAGGCAGTGGAGTGAGGCCACTTAGAGCGTGGGTGCTGGAGCCTGACGGCCTGGGCTCACCTGCTCTTTGCCCAGGTGTGACCTTGAGCAAGTTACTTTACTGTCTGTGCCTCAGTTTCTGCATCTGTAAAACGGGGACAAAGTGATGAACTCTACCTCATAGGGTGACTGCAAAGACTAAATGAGCGATGATACCTGTAAAGTACTGACAATAGCACCTGGTTCGTGAGTGCTTAGTAAATGTTGGCTTTTATGAACATTATTGCTGTTGAGCTCAAGACCTGCCTTGTAGACAGAGCTGGCGAGCCTTGTGCAAAATGACCTAGTGAGTTGGTGGCTGGGCTTGGGCCCTTTCTCCTGCCACACTTCCTCTGATTTTAAGGGCTGGGGTCCAGGTGGCTTTTGAAATGTATTTTTCAGGCCCAGCCTGGGCTGGTTGGGGCTGGGCTGGGAGGAAGGAGGAGCTAGGGGCCTCTGG